ACATAATGTTGGGGCTTTTCGTTCCATGATAGTAATATTCAGATATTCTTGTGATCAAATATAGCCATTTCACCATTGATTTAGAGAGGTCCCGACTCCCCAGGAGCTGACCCAATCCCAAGAGAGACCCATCGGCTCACTTATTAGGAGTGAGCTAATTTTCCGCAAAGCTGGGAGCAGCTGGGCAGGGCTTTTCCTCTCCGCAGGGAGTGGCGTTAATAAACTCTGCGAGGCCCCACCAAACCCATCGCAGCCATCGGGGGCGGCAGCTGCGTACGAGGGAGGCAGGGCTTCGCATTTAGCATGGCGCACAACTCCGCACGCACACACACGCACAAAGTGGAGAGGCCGTTCCAAGCGAGGTACATGTGCACGCGCACCAATATGATTATGGGTAAAAAAAAAAAATCCTTAATAATTCACTGCCTGATTAAGACCTCTGCCCACAACGTGCCAGTCGCCGGGGTTTGTTTGACTGAATGCATTTCCCAGCATGCAGAAGTATGCTGGGAGAGAAGAGAGACAAAATAAACGATGGAGCGGGAGAACAAGAGCGGGCGAGAGATGCGGAGGAGATGGCGGCGGCGGCAGCAGCAGAAGCGAGACGAAAATCACGGAGTTTAGGAGGTCACGGTAAAGTTTGGAGATCACGGCTGTGGGACAGGAGAGCAGCCGAGCTAAAGAAAGACCGGAAAGAAATCTGGGAGGCCTTTGCCCAGCAATGGGAAAATTCAGACTGATGACAACAACAATGACTCGATGACGGCGAGTGTGGGTTGGTGAAGGGGGCCCAGGACGGCTTTAGATCTCACTCGCCACTGATGTTAGCCGCACTCGGGAATTCACTTGGGTCTACCAGGGTCATAGTAGCGAGCTAACCACTGCGCCACCACTCCTGCTCAGGGCTTCACACAATGAGTAGGACATATAACGTCCAGCATCACAGATCGAAAGTGCAATAAATAGTAATTAAAGAAAACCCCATCCATTGAAAATGTGAGCATGAATCAAATGTCCCGACGGAAGCACTGGAATTAAATGAACCCCACAAATGATTTTACACACTCACTCTAGAGGCTCAATATATTTTTTTTACAAATGGAATCTTCACACTATCATGCCCTGAGAAATGAACTTCTGCACCGACATTAGTCATTGGATGAGACTATATTTCCCGACGTAGTTTATCTCCCCATCGTCGCCAATACATTCTCCACAATAGAAATATTTATTTTGGTTCGTGAGCCTCCCCCTTATCACCGTGTCCTCATATGCGTGCTAAATTATTCATGTGAAAACCTCTTCGATGGAACGAATGACACACGAGTCAAATATCAAATAAAAAGAGTCCTCTTGCACAAACGAGCGTGGCGTGGAGCTAATTCCATTTGAGGCGGTGAGCCAGTGGTGGAAATTACACAATCCTATGTCAAAAAAAAGTCTCTCCCTATGGAAAGAGTCACACCCTCCCCCTTCCCCTTCACCCCCACCCCTGTCACAGGAACATGGAATTTCCACCACTTGCTCAGGGCTGTAAATGGGAGGAATTGCGCCATCCCAATGTTCATTTGAGCAGAAAACCACTGAGTTTTTGGGAGCTATCCATAAACAGCACAACCGCCGTTGGATACCCACAAAGTTGCAACAAAGTTGTATCAACGCTCTCAGGATAATGGGTGGATGTGATCCTAGATTATTGTGATACAGCAAAGCCTCTCTATCCGCGAGGGATACATTCTGAGAATGCTCGCGAATGCAGAGACCTTGTTCCAATTGGGGAGAAAAGGAGTTACGTTCCTGGCACGAGTTAACATTGGAGGGGGGAATGGTAAATGTAGAATAACAGTGACTACAATAAATAAACGATACATGATGAAGAATGTTTTTTATTACGTTTGATGATTATGATTTGATGACGATGGAGATGGTGGTGACGGTGAGAAATTCAGGAGGATGACTCCTCGGGAGGTCGCAGGTGTTCGCCAACAACGACGCACCCCTGTTATCATTTTAGCACTGTGGGGAGCACTATCCACAAAACTTTCTCCGATTGTTATTCTTTGGGTCTTTCGGTAAAGTCACATAGATAGGTTCAAAGAAAATAACAAATAACAAAAAAGAAAACAACAAAAAACTACGACGTTTCGATCGCAACACAAGCGGTCGTCATCATCCTGATCATTCTAATGACGACCACTTGTCTTGTGATCGAAACGTCGTGGTTTTTTGTTATTTTTCTTTGAACCTATCTACGTGACTTTACCGAAAGACCCAAAGAATATGAATTCCTGCAGTCATGACAGACCTGTTCTTCACCTGAGGACGGCTGCTTGCGTTGTGGCCGAAACGTCGTGAGAATTATTTTATTATGTTTTATTTTTATTATTTTGTTATTTCCATTCTACGTGACTTTGCCGAAAGAACCAAGAAGATGAATCCCTGCAGTCACGAAAGCTTTAAATCGAAATTTACAGTAACACTTTTATAGCGAGTCACTCCTAAGATGGCTATTTGCCCACAGATGTCCAATGGGCTTTTCCAGCTGTACCGCGTGCTGTTCGGCACAATGCCCCGAGACCTTTCGCTCCACGGCGCAAGAAGCTTCTTCAGGCAACCGATTTGAGCAGCTCACCTACTCCCCCTTGACAACAGCAATTCCATTCAGTTACCCTGAAGAGGCTCCCAGCACGTGTGGCGAAACGTTGGGCACCACACCAAGCATGCGGCACAACCCAAAGACACGTACAGCACAATCGCGGAACACAATTCAGCAACACCCGCTTATCCTATTTTTACATTTAACATGAAGTGAGAGAGATTCTTTTTTTTACACCCATTATTTACCGGAAAGCCCCGCTGTGGGTCTCAACACGACTTTCAGGAAGGTTCAGCACTTGCCCAATAAATACCACGTGAAAGAGTGCGAGACATGTCGAAGGAAATCGGAGTTCTTGTTTTTTTCTTAGTTTGGATTGCGTCTACTCAGCAGTGGCGACGGGGCTCAATGCAAAGTCTTCCATTCTCTCCTCTGCACTCAAACGGCCTCCTCGCTTGGCAAAAAGTCCGGCCTTTTCTCTTTGCGATTCGTTCTTTACGACGTCTGACCATCGTGTTTCTCGGATTAAAACAAATTTTGATATTTTTTTCGGGGGGGGGGGGGGGTTTAGGAAAAAATCCGCACATTTATTTAGCAAATTTGGATTGTTTACAGGGCGTAGTAATGCCACATAGTTACCGTACATATAAGTAGCGCCAAATATGGCAATGGATAATTCTCAAGATGGTACCTCTACTTTTCCTGGACCTTCCCTTAAGTCAGCTCAGTATTAAATGAATACCCTGCTGCAGTGTGTAAACACCCACATAACTAAGTATTCAGCATCTGGGAGGAAACGCTGTATAGCCCGTGAAAACCATTCACACTTTGGGTAGAACACTGAAAAAGCTTTTCCCAGATGGATTCAATAATACCTTGTTATGCTGCCATCTTCAGGCCAGTCTCTCATCGAAGCATTATGAACCAGGCTCAAAACCGGGCTTGGCTTGCACCAGTGTAAATGTGTGCACTGTATTGTTATCCTCAAAGCCATGTGACCACGCCTCGTCAATGTGTGCAATGGAACGTTATTGTTATTCTCCGCGACACTCAAAACCACTGCTTGTAAATGCAATGTGTCACATCGAAAGACTACGCAGCGATACAAATGCGCAGCGTCAGCCTCAATGGAGCCGTTGTGAATCTGTTTGGAATGTCCATTAAAGGGCAATGCTGTAGTTCCTCCAACCCTGTTGTTGTTACCTACAGCAACTATCCCCGAGTAAGCCCCTCCCCCCCACCTTCCAGCCTCAATCGTTGCGGCAACTGCCTCCTTTACGTTACTAATCTCATAACTCCGAAGAGGGCGATGAAATTAGGCGGCAAATAAGACCGCGCGTGGCGAATCGAGCGAAAGGTCAGGAAATTAGCGGGCAAAACGCACACCGCCCACCTCTCTCTACCCCTCCTCCCTGCCCGGGTCTCCCTCTCCACTGCGTCAGCGTAATTATTTATTAGGATCACTGCCCACCCTGACGGTTGACCTTTGCATCGATTAAAGCCCTGACCTTTGGAGGAGGGTGAAGGTTGCTCTCGTTTTTTGACCCGATAAAGATTTTAACAGGAATCGACCCAGGCAAGTGTACCCAACAAATGTTGTCTTTTACAACGTAAAGCTTGTCCCCAAATGACCAGACACTCAGTGCCGTGTACACGTGCTAGAGGTGGCGAAGGGGCGGCCCCGCAATCGCTGACTTACACCACTGCCGGCAGAAGGGCCTCCCACCAGAGGTGAGCTATAGGGAGGAGCCCCTCTGATTGGTATTTTGGCCTTCTCGTCCACACTTGGCCAGGCATCTTGGAAGAGGTGGAAGTACCCACACTTTACCCCACCGCACGCGACCTGTCGACTGATTGGCTGTGGGGTACACATTTGTACTGCAGGATTGGATTGGACAGAGGCGGGGGGGGACCAGAGAAACGTGCCCACTGTTTCAGCAGTGACGTACGGATTGTGCAAGTCCACTCATGGGACTTTAATACTCAAATTCGTTTGAGCAAAAAGCGCTCCATCCTGCTCTCGTTAAGGTGGATGAGCAAAAAATCTTGTCGCCAGTCGCGACAAGATTCGTAAAAAGTACTCCTCGCCAATTCCTTAAGTTGCTAATACCTCACCTGAGGACAGCTGCTTGCGTTGTGGCCGAAACGTCGTGAGAATTATTTTGTTATGTTTTATTTTTATAATTGTATTACTTCCCTTCTACGTGACTTTACCGAAAGAACCAAGAAGTTGCTAATACCTCGTACTGTAGCAATGTGGCCCCCAACGCCCGTCTGTCAAACACACGGCGGCGGCTTCCTTCGCGATGTCCCTTGCGCTACGAGGATGGCGCCAATGGCAAAATGCACGCGAGCGCTTCGATCATTGAATCTGAAACCGAGCTGTTCGTTGCCGGACGGTCACCTGGTAGATATCGGAGAGGCTGCTGCCAGAGTCACTGCCGATGCTGCACCCGGACTGGCTCGCCGACACGCGCGCCATGTGCTGGTGGTGCAAGCTCTCGCTCAGCTGCATCTTCTGCAGGTCGGCGGGAAGCTACGGTGGGCAGAGGGCGCGGGGCGGAAGGGAGAAGAAGAGGGTTACGTCGCAGACGCGAACTCGTGCGCCACAGTGGCACGACGTTAAATACCTCGCCTGGTATGCAGGAGGTCGTTGGTTCGATCCCTGACGACGCCTGTATATTTGGAGTTTGCCTGTTCTCTCTCCGGGTCCTCCGGTTTTCCCTCCACATTTATCACACGTTCAGAGTATTTGGCTGCTATAAATGCCAACTTTATTAGACACTTCGTTGAGTTATCATTTGTGGCCAGGCCGCTTCTGAAAAAGAGCTCAGTGGGCCTTACATGCCGTGTGCCATTCGGAAAGAACGTCCGATGCTTTCGCTCAACGCGTAGGCAGCTTTGTCAATTCCTTCCCGGTCACGACGCACAGCTCCTCAAGGGAGCTCCCATCCCGTGGGGCGAAACGTCGGACAACAAACCAAACGACGACGCGCCGAACAACCCGAAATCGCACCGGAGAGTTCACCAAATCGGCAATGTGCGTGCGTGCATGCGTGTCCCACAAAATACTTGAGCAGTGGATAAACTACCAATACCACGACTGTGGCAGTTTGAAATAATTACTCCGGCTTAAACGCAGAACGCAATGGCGTGGCTGGGCACAGTGCACGTGTTTCAAAGTGACGCATCACACGACAGCTGTGTTCTGTACGAGCAAGGGCAGCAGATGCAACTGTCCGTAACACACGAGACCTCGCACCACAACTTGCAAGCACAGCGAAACACAACATCCGCAAGCTACACATACAGTAACAAAGGCAAAGATACACCGAATAGCCTTTAACGCTGTTAGCGAGCACCTATAATGGAAAGTACGGCGCACGAAGGAGACGGTGTGACAAGAACCACGCCCCACCACCTTTGTCTCTCCAGCAATAATGCTTACACAATACAGCAGACGTGCACACAGATGACACAGACACACACACACATGCATGGACTCACACATGCTTCCAAAAAGCTATTCACACCCATACATAGTCAATGGTCTGTTCATAGATGTTACAGACTGGCAGGGCAAGTTCTGTTATTGAGCACCTATTAAGGCTGGATCAGCAACACCAAGGGGGTTGATTGGTCCCTCCCTGCCACACACAACCAGCAGTCGTTGTCTTCTCTATCCTGATGTTGATCACAGAACCATACCAGGTAGGCATTTATGGCTCAATAGGAACTGTGGGATGGCCAGGCCTAAATCTGGATCAGGCCAGGCCTAAATCTGGATCAGGCCAGGCCTAAATCTGGACTGGGCCTGTCCATTTGGAGCAAAATGCACCAAGTACTGCATCGCTTGCTTGCGAAAGCCATAAATACTGTTTTCGTTCAATACTAAGTGTTATTCAAATTGAGCTATTTTATGGTTAACGGTCACGCATGCTGAAGTGGCTTCTAAAATGTGTACATTCAAATCCCACTCTTGTGCCATCATTGAAGGATGCATTAGCATTTCCTTTGAAAGGCTTCTTTGTAGAATTTGTTTTCTCGTTAAATGGTACGACATCAAAACATACTGATGTGTAAGATTATACCGCCAGGTGCTCGTATCGTAACACAAATAAAACTAAAACTACCTTCAACTTTAACATATATATATAAAACATCAAACAATGTTCTGGAAAGAATGTCTAGCCAACAGGCCCAATTACCAAATTCCATCGATGTGAATAATCTGGAATCAAACCCAGGTTTGGCTGGGATTGCTGAACACACAGCGTGAACCACGACACTGCCACTCCCCACCAGACACACACAAACATCAGTGCCACCATTATAGACTGGTGAATCGAGTTATTTTAATTCTAGATTTGAAGCTTTCGTGACTGCAAGGATTCATACTCTTAGTTCTTTCGGTAAAGTCACGTAGGTAAAAAATGAAATAAAAATTAACACAAGCTTGTGTTGCCTCCGAAACGTCGTGATTTTTATTGTTTATTTTTATTAATTTTAATTTCATTTTTTACCTACGTGACTTTACCGAAAGAACTAAGAGTACAAGTTATTTTAGCAAGCACAGATTTGTCGGTTACAATCGATTCTTATGTCCATGGTGCATGCATGCATGCAATCGTCTTTGTGATAATAAATTGTTTTAAATTAATACAATTTCCAAATAATTTGTGCTGCTTATTTATGATAGACTTATGAATGCACAATTACAGTACAGTAACGCACTGTGTACCGTTACAAATGTCTGTCAATCCACTGCTGTACGAAGGTCTCGCCAATGCCATGTCGCTCATGGGGGTTGTTTGGCCATACTTCACCATTTCGGTCAGTGCGTGTTGAAATAAGTAGGGAAGGGGGGGGGCTGTACTGATATTGGCTGTAGCTGGGAACAAAACACCCAGAGTACAACGCACTAAACCACGGCGCCACCGCTTCCCACCACTCACGACCACACAATCCCAAGCAAGCAAGCTCACGAAGGCCAAACAACCTCGGGTGGATGAGTCAGATATCCTTTTTTTGCGCAAATCAAACCGGGCACACAATGTGCTTTTGTGTTTAGCCACTACCCACCGGTTGAGACTCCTCCTGATCGCAAATGCGGCCTACGCGTAATGTGACGCGATTATCCACACGTCTGCAGCGCCAGAGTCAATGCGAGTGAAATGAAGCGGGCAGCGCAACACAGGTGTGTTACAGTTGCTGAATCTTTGGCCCAAAGGGAACTTGGTCAGATGCAACGTTTCTCTTCAATTGTCTTTTTGTTGCATCATTGCATGTGCGCGTCGTTTACTCGGGTACTTGGTTATGAATTCAGGAGTATGAACCACGTAAAGCGACTCCTCTACTTACGAACATTCGACTTACGAACTTTCAGAGATACGAAAAAACATCTTCGTATGTCCAGTTGCCTGTTCGTTCAGATAATCGTCACTGGTGTTGGCCATAAGCGGGAATCGAACTCGGATGGACCGGGTTTCGTAGCGCAGCGCGCTAACCGCGACACTACCACAAAGTACCAGAGACAAAGATCCCCCGTGTAGCCTCAACAGACTGTTGGGGCAAGTGCTGTTAGCGAGCACCCTTGAAGGCCGGCACGGCACACGAGGGGGTGGGTGGCCAGAGCCATGACCGGCCGTCTTTGTCTCCCCACAAGTGCCACAGACATTATAACACATCATTTGTTCAGTTCTGACTTCCGGGAAAAAAGTTTAAATAAAATATTATCTGTGAATGGAAATTATAAAATAAAAAATGCAAAATTGCCCATTATTCCATTCTAAGTTTTTATAGGTCAATATAGTCAAAAAAATTGCAACACAGCATGCTAACCGCTAAACTTCCACTCCCCACAACTACCACAGGTGTACGTGCACAATTTATACCGTGTACTTTGTTTAGTTCTGAATTCAGGGGAAAGAGTAAAAATATAATTAAACATTACCTGTTAATGGAAATTATATTATTATTAAAATAAAAAATGCACGATTAATGATTCCATACTCAGGTTTTAAATGTCCATCCAGTAAAACTAAAGTTACAGACCATTGTCAATCCACTGCTGGATCGAGGACTCTCCATGCTCTGTCAGTCGTGTGGGTTGTTTGACCATACTTCATCAGGTTGAGCGGTATGGGTTGGTAAGGGGTTCACAACTCAGCTCAGTCACCAACCACGGCATCATACATATTTTGTATTTTTTTTCATGCAATTCGGGCCAGCCCAAATGTAAGAACTAAACATAACACACTGGGTGGTCATCATGCAATGAATCACTCTTTGCAGAGTGTGAAGGAGGCACTGTGTAGTGTTGGGTAAGAGAGGTCCCCTATTGATGGGACCTCAGACGAAAATCTGTGGCATCATTTTACAGGGGCCATTCCTTCACTGGGTATGATCCTGAGTTGCATGGAGGACTTCCAAAAGTGAATTCCTCCACCTAAACATAACTCCAACACCACAAATGGGATACGGTCGGTGATACAATTTTAAAATGAATATATTCCAGCCATTCTCAATCCATCAATGGAAGCATCCCCACGTCACATTGGTCAATGGTGGCTTATTGACCATACTTCACCACGCTGGTCAGTGTAGGTTGGTGAAGGGACAGTTGGGGTCCAGTTCTTATATCACTCGCCACTTTTTTTTCTAACGTTATTAAAGTATCTGTACCATAGCAGACAAAACACAAAGCAACACAATTGGGATTTACATAACATCTGAATGCCACCGCTTCTCGAGGTTGTACGGAACATTGGGTGAAAATAGCCAGCAAAAACATTATTTTAAAAACTGCTGAAAATTCACAATAACAGCATGGTTTTGTTGCAGGCCAGGCTTAAAGCGGCCTTAATTCTGGAGAAATATATATATATTTTTAAACCTCAGGCGGTGTGTCGTATCTTGTCTCAGTTGTGGCACGCTGACGATAATATTTTTTACAATGAGCCGCTCTCTTCATGATATTTACACCGTGCATAAACGCCACCAACTGGTCGTGTGGGAGGTGTAGGGTGCCAGCCCGGCTTAACCAGATCAGCATAGCGGCACCATTGTGCTCATTACATAGACGCCACAGAACCAGGAAGGTCGATGTGGGGGGAGAATTTGTATTATTATTTGTTTAAATCTACAGAGGAACCAAAGGAACCTGCCTCACAGTATAACCATGTGTCTGTCCATGCTTTCAAACATTCGTAATTAAATATTAGTGGCAGGGGAAATACCCTCAAGCAATCAGCATTAGTTCTGTTAAATGTCCCTCCTCCCCTCGCCCCCCCCAAAAAAATATTAAAATAATGAATTTGTAAAAGGTCATGAAATTCTGTTTCAAATTGGGAAATCTTTGGATGGAGTGATTACAAGCCACATGGTTTATAAACAATTAGGTCTTGTTTACGCCACAGGGAATATTAAAGGTATTTATTTTGAATGCTTCGTGAGGACAAAAATTCTGGCATATAATGGTCTCCTGGGGTATTAAATGACCGGCTGAAAGAGACAGTACGGATTAAACAAACCTTG